GGCAGCCGGTGGTGGTTGGTGAAGAGGCGGTGTCCCCCGGCGCGGCCTCCCTTGCCCCGTCCCTTGGTGAAGGCCTCGGCCTCCCCCTCCTCCTCCTCTTCTTCCTCTTCCTCGTCCTCCTCCTCCTCCTCCTCTCCGGGCCTCAGCAGGTCCCCTTCCTCCTTGCTGGGCTTGTGGTCCCTGCGCAGCGAGCGCAGCTTTTCTCCGGTCATCGCCGGGGCGAGGGCTCAGAGCCGCGGCGGAGAGTCCCCTCCCGACGACATTCCGCTCGGGGACGCCCCGCAGGCCAGCCCGCCGGCGATGGCAAGGCTGCCCTCCAAACCCGGCTCCACCTGCCTCCGCCGCTTCCCTCAGCGGCTCCGACGCGCCGCCATCTTGTCGAGCGGATCTCGCGAGACCTCGAGGACGGCCGGGGCGGGTTCGGGAGAAGTCTCGCGAGATGTTGCCCCCTCCCTCGCGCCCCGGAGATGCTCCGAAAGGGCCGCTTCGGGTCCTGAGGGGAGTTATTGGCGGCGGAAGGACTGGACGAAGGAGGAAGTGGCGCTGAGGGAGACTCCACACTGCAGAAATGACCCCTTTTGAGACCGCTTTAACTGCCCTGGTTCAAGGCTAAGGGATTTGGGGAACTCTAGTGTTCGTGAGATATTGAGCCTTCTCTGTCAGAGAGCTCTGGTGCCACAATAAGGCTGCCGTTCGCAGGATTCCCTGGCACTGAGCCAGGGCAGTAAAAGCGGTCTCAAACCGGGTTATTTCTGCAGTGTGTTTTGGAACTTGGAAGTTACTAATCTTGGGAGAAGGGTGTTAGTATGTAGGCTGGACATGGGCACCTTGTAGGACAGCAACTCCCATTCGCCTCAACAAGCGCCGCCAGTTGTGGAGGATGCTGGGAGTTGCAGTCCAGAAAGGTCAATGGAGGGCTCCCCTCGGAATGACCGAGCGTCCTCCTTTTCCAGGACATGTCCTCCATTTCAGCTTTCTGTCCAGCAGCAGCGATTCCAAACTGTCTTGCATGTTAAGCAGGAGTTTACATTTCCATGAGTGTTTTTAGTTTATATTTGGACATACCTTTTTCTTGAATGATCTACATTTTATCCTATGTATCTTCTTGAATGTCTTACTAAGAAGCAGGAATTTATATTAGTATTTTTAAAAAGCTTTTATTTGGTCACGTCGTACATTTTTCCTCAAATGGCCTGTATTTTGTCCTACTTTTTCTTTGATGCCCTGCTAAAAAGCAGGAATTAATTTTTGTATGAGT